GCCCTGCCCGCGCTGGCGCCCACCTACCCCCGCAGGCCCCGCGCCGGACCCGCGAGGGGCACCCCCTCCCCCCTGCAGCACCGCCTCCCCCCCGCCGGTGAGTCGCGTCCCCGCCCGCACTCCCTCACTCCTGACTTCAATGAGGGTTAAGACGTCGGTAACTGTAGGGTATTATCGAAATCGCATCTTTTGAGGTAGCGATCCCAAATTTGGGCTGTAGGCATATTTCAACACGGCGAACAAGATGAGAACCAAAAAAACGCGATCGGGGCACCTTGAAAATACACTGTACTTTACCGTATTTTGGGTTAGGATGAAGCCATCTTCCGACTTCCGTAGCCGGCGCGCAAGACACCCCGTCGCACACAGGAAACGTCCGTAGAAGGGCAATTTCTTGCGAATGGAGCAGTGACTTTAGCCCACTCACAAGAAATTGCCCTTCTACGGTCCGACGAAGCTGTTGCTGTTGTTGTGAGCGACCGTCTTTTAGTCGTCTGCAATGGCTTCATCCTAACCCAAAATACGGTAAAGATCAGTGTATTTTCAAGGTGCCCCGATCGCGTTTTTTTGGTTCACATCTTGTTCGCCGTGTTGAAATATGCCAACAGCCCAAATTTGGGATCGCTACCTCAAAAGATGCGATTTCGATAATACCCTACAGTTACCAAGACGTCCTGTTCACATGAACTTGAGTCACCGGCAACGTAGGTGGGGCGTCAGCCTGACCATCACTTGGTTTTCGGTTGTGGAGGGTGGATCCCTTTTTGCCACCGAGTGTCGACGAGCTGACAGCGTACCGGGTGTAACTGTGAATACGCAGCAGTGTTGCGTGTTTGCCTATTCTTCATGCCCGTAAGGGGCCATGGCCCCTGCGGCCATATTGAGTATGCAATCCCGCTACACTGCTACGTATTCACAGTTACACCCAGTACGGCCTGCCGGGGGCCGGGGGTGGGAGCCCAACTCGGATCACGCTTCCGCGTCAAGGGAGTTTGAAAATCTGCAACACTCCCATCTCATGGCTTTACAGCGTATGGAGGCCTGCTGTAGCGACCAGTATCCATTCGCGGGAGGGGTCCAAACGGTTGCAAACGGTACTAGCGGGCTGTCTACGGCCAGTGCCCAACCAGTGCCGTGAAGGAGGCATGCAGACGCACAGCCCGGCGTGGGTCTTATTTGCACTCCCGAAAGTCCCTTTCACCTCCTCCCCCGCCCTCCCCAGCCTTCCCTCGCCTCTCCCGTCCCTCCACTTTTCTCTTCCTTGTCTCTCCCACCCACCGACCTGCCTCCCTCCTCCTATGGGTGCTACTCCTCCGTCCTACTGCTGCGCACTGCTGTCACCGATCCCAACAGAGTACGATGTACCAGGTGGCTAACAGTACCAGGTGGCTGATTCACGCCGCGCACTTCTGTAGGTATAGATACTGTACCGCACGCACGAGTGCGGGCGGGCTTGCCTATCGACCCTGTCCACGGCGCCTTACGAGCCGAGCGAGTAGGCAACCCGCCCGCACTTGTGCATGCGGTACAGCATAACTACAGAAGTGCGCGGCGTGAATCAGCCACCTGGTAACTACGAGTGTGCGAGGCGTGAGTCAGCCACCTAGTATGTAAGGGGGGGATAATCCCCAATTTGCGACCTCTCTCCCCCATCGCGACGTCTCTGACTTCACCCAGAAAATCGTTTCTTTGGAACAAGGAAAAATTACCACACGCTAAAGAAACTGACCTTAAATTCAGGAAATTTATCTAAAATGACTGTTAGGAAATGTTTTTATTAGCGTACGGAAAAGAACGACTTACCGTGACCACAACCGAGCCCCCGTGGGGCCTCGTCCCTGTTCTCAAGGGGAGGAGAGGGGCACGTTTCCTTCTGGTAGAGATGGGGACTGTCTAAAAATTACCTTAATCCGAGGAAAATTGTTTATTTTGAGGCATTGTTGACTTTAAAAAAAAACAATGGAATTTCTTTGTAACAAGGAAACAGTTTCCTGATGTGTTATCAAGGAAACAGTTTTCGGGTGTGACATCCATACTACCATAGTTTTCCTCCTCCGCCCACCCATTAGCCCGCCTCCGGTATCAGCTTGATGCCGATGGTGTTGTTGAGCGTTCACAAATGAGCCGACTGATTCCAAAGAACCCTCTCCTTCCGTATTTTCCGTATTTTTTATAGCTCCGTCCTTGTCGCACTCATTGAGCAGCGCCCCTTGAGGTCTCTGTCAGGCGTCAGGCGTGTAGTGGAGGAGGTAGCCAAGGCACTCGGGGCCCACAGCAGAGATCCGCTCGCGGAAGCGGGGCCGAGGCCCGAGCGCTGGAAGCCGAGCGCTGG